TTCGTATTTATCCAAGCATGTCTCTGTGGATACATCTACTGAAATGTCTTGTATGTTTTCGTGGACACATGAAATGATTATTTTAATTGAATTCCTTTACATCGTCATTTCAAACTCACACACACCCTCACCCCCTCACCCTCACCCTCACCCTCACCCACACCCTCAAGATTACTTCTCACTCGCAATACTACAAATACCTATACAATAATGTGCTTTTCATTTCTATTCTGTTTGTATCAATGAAAAAACGAAAGTCAGAGTGGTGTTCGACCAATGTCGCCAGACCGGATATCGGAAGATGTGGGTTCGAGTCCTGCTCTGATTTTATGATCTTTTTGAATAAGTTTTTCGTACTTATCTAAGCATATCACTGTGGATATTATGAATGATTCGTGAGTGATAATCTCGTGGGCAAATGAAAAGATTTCTTATGTTTCTTCCTTCTTTCGTCCTATGTTCAAACTCATCCCACACCCTCACCCTAAACGATGAGAGTGAGGATGAACATGAGAGGAAAAATCAAGTTTCCTTCTTATATGATGAATGAATCTAAGAATTTTATACTCACTGTTCATAACTAAGATTTGTACTATAGTCCTGACAAAATGCTATGGAATAGTGAAGAATTACGCTGTAATTTTTCACATCTTCTTTGGATTATATAGTTCTAGATTATAATTCATCGAATTTTTCTATTACAAGAACTTCATTCTTTCTTTTACTGAATATTTCTTTTCTTGTAAATTGTAACAAAAACTATTGCACGATATTCTGTGCGGAAAATCAGATTGATTTTTTTTTCATTTTTGACACAAAAATGATGTCTTTCAAGACTGTTCGTCAGAGTATAATACAATTATATTTTATGGATTTTTGAATGAAGTTTCATATGATATTATGCTTTTACATAAATACATACAATGGTTACATAATGATTACTTTTTCAATTTTTAATAATTTCGAACTCTTGAGTTATAGAACTGAATTACTGTTCGTTATAACTCCTCATCAACCCAATATGTAAAGATCTGACTTGCGTCAACAATTTACAAATGTCATATATTTTTCAAAATATGAGAGAAATACTTTTATTAACAACTTTATCCCAAAACTTTTTGCCACTTCAATAAAATCTTTCAGCGGAATTCCTAGCGAGATCAAATCTATTTCTATTATTCTAACAGAGATTTCTTATGAAAAATAGTTCTGCTTTTGCATTCCTAACCAAAGTCTCAATTACCCGCGATAGTTTGTGTACATAAATGAATAGATGGTAAGATAATTAAGTTAAAAAACAAACAATTTAGTTTATATATTATAACTATTTCAACTCAAACTCCAACTTTCACAATTGTTTAAAACAACATTAAATGACAATAAACAAGTTATGTTTTCAAATGAAATTCCAATTTATTTCATCTAGCGAAAGGATATGTGAAACTTCGCTCTCATCTAATGCTGTTATTCCATCAAATATGAATATTTTGCAATGATTAATGGATTTAAAAGAGAAATACATATTTTTATACGTTCAGAATAAAAGATTTCAATATTCATTCTTATTCGTATATTAAATTTCTTCATTTTTAGAGTAGCTTTTCTATTATGAATAGTTGAATAAATGATCTGTCAATTAGTTTGAATATGATTCAATTATGTAAAATGTTTGTGGAAAAATAATTGAGTAAAGTTATATTTTATTTTGATTGTATAGCACTTTTAGATCAATTCTTTGAAATTGATTTTTCTATTTTGTCATATTTTCATGAATTTATCGATTAAATATTTCAAATTTAGATATTGAGGGTGAGGGTGAGGGTTTATGTAGTGTATCGTTTTACGATTTATTTCTCACCTGAGTACTTATCCACCAACAGTATAACAATCAATTCAAGAGAATTCGGAACATTCTTATTACGTATTCGTTTTGTCCAAATTGATGATTTTATTTCAAAGATTATTCAATGCAATGTCTTATCTTTTTTCACTTGATTTTCATTACTTATTCATTTGAAAATTCATCAACTTCAGTTGTTGTACTATTTCTTATAATTTAGATGTTTTGAATAATGTACTTCATTATGACACAGTTATCATTAGACGAACAATGTGAATTTCTATCCACATGATTTTTAATCGTATGATAATCGTTTCAAAAGTACACATGTTAATGTAGTTATTCTATATTTTCAATCAATAGAAAATCTATTTTCAAAAATTATTATTCATATATAAATGAAATAAACAATATAGAAGATATATTAATATAATATAGAATGATTTGAATGCATAGTCTAATAGATTGAAAGTTGAAGAGAGAGAGAGTCATAGTTTGTCTATAATTTCACTTTGTTGTTTTTTTCAATATTTGTAATTTGAACAAAATTTCATAATAAAATAATAATTCTATTTAATATGAATTATTAATGAGAATATAGAATAAAGAATATTTAGAGAAGGTAATTAGTAATGACTAAAATACAAAAAAAAAATTGAGAAAATATTGGTAATTTTTATAAAATCTTCTGGAAATTCTAAAGAAATTTTGTAGGAGTGTGGCAAATAAAATCATGTGAAATTTCAACAATCTTCATACCACAACATTTCAATAGGTTTTTTGTATTCATTTATTCTTTATCAAGCTATATTACAAAGTGATCAGAGTCAAACGACACGATTAGTATGATAAACATCTGAGATAGTTCTCACATGAGTATTACTTTATGGTTATATTAGAGAAGACAATTACTTCCACTTGTCTATGTAACACACTCATAATAAATATTTATATCTCTTTCCAATAGTTTTTTTTTATATAGAAAACATTTATCTCTTATTAATTCATCAATTTTCTCATTAAAATCTTTATTAAATCTAAAGTTTTGAATCATAAATGATTAATGAAATCATACTTTCTCAATCAACAAATGAATCATATTTTTATCAATAAAACTAAATCATGACTTCGGAAAATGAAATTAATGACACGTATTAAAATGACATCAATATACATGTTTAAATGTAGGCAACAAATCATGAAGATTGTTTTGTATCAATTTCATTGATTAAATAGACATTAGAAAATGACAATGAAAATAAATAGAATATGATAAAATAAAAACTAATTGACGTGAAAAGGATTTTTTTATCAATGTTTAGAAAGTTTTCTTTTTTTGACAAAAATGTTTATTAAAATGAAGATTTCTTCAATTTGGATTTTCTTCTGTTTGATCAATTCAATTTTAGGTTAGTTTAGTTTGTTTTTCATTTAAATGAATTTTGTTTTTTTTAGCAAATTCATCGAATCAACCAATATTTTGTTCAAATGCAACTTGGAATCCAAAGGGAATTACTTTTGCAGATGAAACTATTGTTGGAACATGGCCTAGTACTCTTTTTATCGATACAAATAATACAATTTATGTTGCTAGTTATATTAAAAAAGAAATTTTAATTTGGTTTAATCAAAGTTCAAATTCAACAAAAATTATTCGAGGTGATTTTTTATATCCAAAGTCCATGTTTGTAACAAATCTTGGTGATATTTTTATTGATAATGGTGGAGTTAATAATCAAGTTGATAAATGGATTTCAAAGAATGAAACTTTTATCAATATGATGAATGTTGATTCTATATGTTTTGGTCTTTTTGTTGATCAAAATAATTCTTTATATTGTTCAATGGGAAATGAACATAAAATAGTGAAAAAATGGTTAAATGATATTGAAGTAACACCAACAACTGTTGCTGGAAATGGTACTGAAGGTTCTGCTCCGAATCAACTTTTTCATCCTCGTGGAATCTTTATTGATGACAATTTTGATTTATATGTGGCAGATAACTGGAATAATCGTATTCAAAAATTTGAATTTGGTAAATCAAATGGAATAACAAAAGCAGGAAAAGGATCTTTCAACGTTACAATTCAACTTAGATATCCATGTGGAATTATTTTAGATGGAAATAAATATCTTTTTATTCTTGATCATCAAAATAGTCGTATAATTGGAGAAAATGAAAATAGTTTTCGATGTTTAGTTGGATGTTATGCAGGACTTGGTTCACAATCTCATCAATTATATTTTCCCTCTACTCTTAGTTTTGATATTGATGGAAATATATTTGTTAGTGATACTAATAATCATCGAATTCAAAAATTTATTTTTGAAAAAGATTCTTGTCAAAGTAAATTAAAATTGAATTTAAATAAATTCTTTTTTTTCTTCTAAATAGATCAAACATCAACAACAAATCAAATAAAACAAAGTTTAGAGAAATTTTAATTTATTTCTTTTAAAGAAGAATGTATTTTTATTTCTAATTTAGATGAAATAACAACACAAATTCAGCAAGGTTTAAATTTGTTTTTTTCTCATTTAAAATAAATTTTTTCTTTCTTCTAAAACAGATCAAACATCAATCATGTCAACAACAAATCAAATAAAACAAAGTTTGGAGAAATTTAAATTTATTTTTTATCGAAAAAAAATTTATTTTTAATTTTAGATCAAATAATAACAATTATCTTATTTTTTGCTTCTCTTTCATTATAAATGTTTGTGATACTTGTTAATAATGGTCGTCAGAATGACTGAAAATTGTAAAGAATAAAATATGTTTTAAAAGTCATGTTTGTTATTGAAATCAATTTATTGTTTCCTTTTATGAAAAAAAGAATTATACAGCGTTAAAATCAATGACTTAAAATACAAAAAGTGTGTCTGTCTGGTCTATCCAATCAGAATTCAGTATTCCGTAAATTCTTAAAAACTAATCCGAGTGACGAAACATTGTCAATCCAGGGATAATTAAGATTGAGGATATCGAATCTAATGTTAGTTTTCTAAAATTTCAACCTATTAATGAACTAATTAAGAAATCATGATCTATAATATTGTCAAGTGAGGATTGATCGAAGGATTTTTGAGGTCGACGAGTTTAGAATCTGATATTTGTTTTCTTTTCTGTGAAGTATATTGCCAAAGCTTTTTTGAGATCTCATCTTCGAACGAATCAACTGAGGTTTGAGAGATGAAATAATGATTATGACGGATAAGAATTGATGTTTGAAATTATCATTCCTCGTACCTTCTTCTGATGAGATGTTAGAAGATGTATGTAAACAAAAATGAAGTGTAATTGTGATTTAACTGCTGTTAGGAATGCCTAGTTCCAGTGCAAATACTGAAAAAGTGCCACTATCAGCACTGACTTTACCAGCTTATGTGTGTCAGTTAGGGGTGGGTCACTTAACTTAATTTGGCTTAATTAAGTCTCTTTACTTAACACTTAATATTAAGCGTTAAGTGTTAAGTGAAAAGGCTTAACTTAATTTTAAATTAAGTTAAGTGACCCACCCCTAAGTGTCAGTAAAATACGATGTAACAATGATATCAGTCTTACTGTGCATCCTTAACTGCATGTATATTCATAAACGTCAGCAGTATAGCAATTGTTCTAAATCTGTGTCAAATTGTTAAACGAGCACACTCTGTCTGTAACGAATCGTAAAATTATAATTTCTTGTCTATAGTTTGATTTTGGAATTGTATCAAAATAAAGTTAACATTTTGAGTCGACAACTGAAATGGAACTCATATATATTTATTCCGAAATTGAGTCAAAATCAGATGTTGTAGTGGAGGAAACATGTGAATGGCTAAGCGTTTGTTTGATACTCATTGGAGTACCTGAAATGAATAGGAATAAAAGATGCTTGAGGATGCCAAAGTAAACCAATTCATAAAATAAAGGAAGTCTTCCTCGAATAGTTCTTGTACAAATTGCATCTTAAACGAGTTTAATGAAAGATGTTCGTGAAATGGAACAAGCTGTTGCAACAGTTCGAACATTTGATTGTGACTCATCTTGAAGAAAATCATGAACTTCATCGATTTTTTCTTCTGTAATTTCTAATGGTCCTCCTAATATACGATTCAGTCAGTGTTTTTGTACCAAATTCGGCTTGCAGTTGTCGTCCAACAATAACAGGCGAGTCAAATTTTGCTATTAATAAAACTATTTTAATTCTAATGTGTCCGACAAAATCCTACCCCTTACTTCCTCGCAGTGTCGGATGCAAACGTCGTTCTCGACGGCCAAAATGGGCTCTGGTGAGCGTTTCAGGGTTAGTCACTCGAAGCGTGCTCTTCAACGACTCCGAAAACAACAATTGAAGAACCCATTCCGGGCAACAGCCTTTCGTCTCACCGTCAGCTAGCAAACATTCCATGCGAATCTGAGCCTATGATAAGGCAGTCTCCTGCCTTTGAAAAAGCAGCGGCGAGTCGTTCAAAACCAAAAAACTCCAAAAACCAAAAAATTCTACATAAAACCATCACAATATCTACCTACAACGTACGCACACTCAAGCAAACTGGGAAACTTCACCAACTTATATATGGATGCAACCAAAATAACATAGATTTGGTAGCGGTTCAAGAACATCGTTGGCAAACTTCAGAACAAACAAACAGAACCTATCAAACACTGAACGACAAATACTGGCGCTTTGAATACTGCTCTGCAACGCCAGAAGGTCATGGAGGCATTGGATTACTGATGAATCCTAGAATGTCAGCATTCCTTAGCGCATCTGAAAAGATATCTAACCGCATAATGGCGGTGCATTTTAGGGGCAACCCAGCAATGACCGTTATCGTTACCTATGCACCTACGGAAGACAAAAACGAACGGGAAAAGATACCTTCTACGACGACTTACAAAGGTATACACATTATAACGAACTTGAGATGAGAAGTGCCCGTGATATGATGACACACACTTTATTTGGCTTCTTCACGTAACAAGCTGCCCTTTAGTTATGAGATACACGCTTATATAGGTAACAGTGAACAATGGATATCAGCCAAGTATAGCGGTCATGCTAGTGTCGATGAGTCAAGGTCGCGTACAGGTCAGGATATAGGAATATATCCCGTTACACACATGGCGTTCCAACACACAACGTTCTGATACTTGCTGGAGATCTCAACGCAAGATTGGGATCCGATAGCCATACAACAAATCCACGAGCAATTGGCAAGTACACTTACCACCAATCTACTTACGACAACGGCAACAGACTCGTCAACTATTGCAAAGCCTGTAACATGCGCTCAACACAAACCCGCTTCCCGCAACCACAATCAAGATCATGGACCTGGTTACATCCAAATGGCAAATCCAAAGCTCAACTTGATCATATCCTCATCAATGGAAAATGGTTGAATTCGATCCGAAATGTTCGTGCTAGCGGCGGCGCCAGGAATTCTCACTAGGGTGGGCTTGGCCCGTCTTAACCCAGGCTAGGGTGGGCTGAGCCCACCCTAGCCCACCCCTAGCGCCGCCACTAGTTCGTGCATACAACACAGTCGAGTTGAACTCTGATCACCGAATTGTTAGTGCGCGGTTATCGATCAGCCTTCGGGCAACGAAAGATAACAAAAACAAGAGAATCAAATTTGACTGAACCAAACTCAAAAATAACTCCAAACTACAATCACGATTCAACATAGACGTGCAAAATCGTTATGAAATTTTAGAAAACGACAACGATGACAACGACATACAAACGAAGTACGACAACTTTGTGAGAAGTATACGGCTTGTCCAAACGTAACGTTGTGACATTTTGACAAAGTATTTTTCGATTTTCTCGAAGACTATAAAAGTTACGGATCTCGTTCAAACGCTCATAGATGCAGCTCGTTAAACTCTATNAATCGAGTACGGTCTATCATTCTAGTATAGGTAATCATGGGTTTGCCCTTGAAAATAGGCAAGAAACCACTATCTGTGCTCGGATTGGTCGACTTCGGGCAATCAGCGATGACCGCGATTTTTTTTCAAAACTTGTTTTCGCTTGAAATCGACTAGGGAGGCCCTATATAAGGGCGTTTTTTTGACCTCCAGAGATCTGCATTGGTTGTTTATTTCCTTTCAAGGAGGCAGTGTTTTACTCCGGTTGTGCGATATTAACCATGGATCTTTGAGTTTTTTGTTCATGAATCTATAGATGCGGAGTCATAATGGATCTACGATTGTGTCTGAAATAATGGAAGATGTTTCTTATACGTTAATCACTTAATTAAGTGGAAATTAACGGCTAGGTGTAACGCGTTAATTGCTAATATTAAGGTTAACATCAACCGTTAACGTTAATTTCAAATTAACGGAAATGGTCCACCCCTAGGACTTTATAGTATAAAGTACTCTACTAGAAGTACAGTTACAAGTACAAGCATTTTCTGGCAAGTACAAGTACAAGTACTCTGAACTAAGTACAAGTATTTCTACGTTGTACTTGAAAAGTACAAGTATATGTACTTGCGTCCTACCTCTGGTTTGCTGATAAGACCACAAAACACCGTTTTTATAAGTCAGATTTAGAAGAAACACGCATTATGATTTGAATATACAACGTTCTCTTTCATACTTCAACAATGCAAACGCTGAAAATTCATCTTCAAAATCTGAAGACTTTGATAGAACTGATGGTGATAATGAACATCACCTTCGTTCCAGTATTATTGCCACTCGAATCTACATCATAGTTCTCTCAATACTTCTCACGATCGTCTATGTTGTACTCTGAATGGGTTCTCAAATCACAGTGATAACAATAAATGAACCGATTATGACAGCTATTCGACTTCTCCCATTCGATGTCTGATATCCATGTTCATGTATTTCTATTTCATATGGTAATTTCACTTTGATTTAATCACGACTCCATCAGGTGTGTTCAAGTGAATTGATTATTGATCGATGGATTGAGAACGATTAACTTTGACAGTGGTGGAAATCATTATGAAGTGACTGATTGTCGATGTTAATCTCTACATAGATCAGCAAGGCAACTTTTGTAATTGTTTTGGATTTCTCGATTTTATCGTATATTTCTACGAATATCGACAACATTATCAGTCATGATGATCACGAACTAAAGTCGTTTTGAAATGAATTCACGAGTTCAATCAGTGTTCAATGATC